TCGATCGGCGCTATAATGAGTCTACTCTCAGGTCATTAGACAACTCTGTAATACTATTTATAGTTTATTTTAATAAGTATTGTTAAACCAATAAATTAGGCGGATATTCAACGGCATCGGAAGTGAATCCCGACTTACTATCGCCATATGTTTGGAAACTATGGCCCACAGAGTGTTTGCCCGCACGGAGACAGAAGGTGTACGTCGAGAGACAAAGTCTGACAAATGGGAGCCAATCGTCACTCAGAAAGAACAACAACAACAATATGAAGAGAGATTCAATCACTTCGATAACAAAATTATAATACATTTCTCATATATTTTCGATCAATTTATAGATTTGAATGAAAACTCAATGTAAAGTATTATTAAGAGGCAGCCAAACGAACACATGAATTGAGAGAATTCATTGAAAAAAGCATTTTAATAGCAAATTCTCATCTATTTTTCCATAAGAGAACCGAATTATTTTGCTGTCAATTCCTCGACTATTAGTGATCCATAAGTTATATTTTCATTACTTTATCATATCTGGGGCCCAAAGATATTATTATTACTATTTTCATATTTTTTCATTCTTAACAAATTACAGTATATATTCATATTATCGGTTTATAATTAATTAATTAAATACCATATATCGGTAGATGTCTGATATAAGATATAGATTATGCAAACTATTGCTTAACTAATCTTTTGGAAGATATTTTATGTTTACTACAGTATATGTACCGCACATTAATTCCGGTGTAACTATTAGAGGACTTAATAACGAGAATAGTCTGATTGACACCAAATCTAAATTTAATGTATATTATGTTCAATCAGTTAATATAAAATCAATTTAACACATGAGTTAATCTCATTGTCTCAACGACTAGTTTGTGATATTCCGTTACAATTGGATTATAAAATCTATTTTTAGAGAAAATCCTAATTATTTTTTGAACGTTATTCAAAATAGTGTAAAAATCAATTAATAAAATGTATTTTTGAAAATTGAATTTTATTTTATTAAATTTAATTGAATCCTAAAATGAACTTTAAATACAAAATTTGTTTTTTTGAGGAAAAATAACACAATTTCTTAAATAAATTATAAAATTGTTAATATATCAGTGAAAAATGATAACTAAAGTAATTGTCAGAAAATTCAGATTTTTATAAATCAAATCCAGAAATTGATGTATTATTTAGTGGATAGACATAAGAGAATTGGTTTTAACGTTCAGTCGATGTTCTGATGTCTCGATTTCTATCGTTTCTTTCATTTCTTTCGTTCCTCTCATTCTTATCTCCTCCTCCTCTGCGATCTCGAGATCGAGAGCGTGACCGCTGTCTCGAGTGATGGCCCGGAGATCGAGACCTCGAACGGCGTCTTCGTTGACTGTTTTGATTCCGTTCCCGAGATCTTTGAATATTAAACAAATCATTAGTTTATTGAAACAATTAAATCACAGGCAAATGGAGCCAAACCTGGAACGACTCCTCCGACGGCGTCTGTCGTCATACCGTTCCCTCTGATCCCTCTCTCCTCTATTTCTATCGTTTCGATCGTTACGATTGTATCGATTATTGCCATATCGGTCGCAATCTTCTCGCTCTTCAACGGCGCCGCGATTTTTCTTTTCGGTCACCAATTGCTGTCATTTGAGCAAAAATTTAGTTATTTTTATATCCAATATATTTATAGCAAATACAACAAACCCTCAATTCTTCCAGTCTTTCGCGTCTAAAATGAATTGAAATAAAAATCAATGCATTAGAAAATCAATGAAATGTCTCAATAAACAGATTGTCTTACATCGTAATGAATCCCAAATGCAATTTGCCTCCGAAATGGTCGGCCAGTCGCCTGTCATTATCATGAATTCCCAGATACGCTGAGCACACCTCACAAACTCGCAGCTTCTGCTGTTGATAACTGGAAGCGGGCATTGAGTTCCTGTACTCCACTTCAGCGCCGCCCTTCTCCTTCTTGATCTTCTCGACCTCTTCCATGAGTTTGAGTGACTCCTCGACATTACCCTCAGCGCCGGCCAACTCAGCTGCGGCCAACTTCTTACCGATTTGTTCGGCCAATTCGTGCACTTTATTCAACTGAAAACGCAAAGTCATATGAATTGTAAATAAACTGTAAAACATAAGACATATATGTCGCCCTACTTTAGTGCCGACTTCGGCGCTCAGTTCCTCCTGAGTCTCAGCCAATCGTTTTTTGGCGGCCTCTGTCTTCTTGTCGGCGTCGGCCACGAATGACTCCAAGTGTTGGAACGCCTGTTATGCCATTATAGCACTCATTAGTATTGCACTCAACAATCGTTACAAACAAATCAAATGAATAAAGCGTTGAAATACATGCAGAATAAGAGCTTCGGCTAAATAAATGGCGGTTCGAGTGAAACCATAATTGAGTTTATTCTCAGAAAAAAGATAATAAAATGTCATTTAAGAACACAAGGAAAGGACAGGGAGTTTACGGAATGTCTACTATTAATACCAAAATATATGATAAAATGTAATATTAATGATAAAATACAATATAATAATTAGGAACCAATGAATGGTTGAATACATTACCAAAAGAGTCTTCAAAATATACATTACCTTAAGTTCAACTCAAGAGTGAACTCAATCTCAACCATAGTCTGTATGTGTGTATTGGTCTCTATTGTCAGCAAAAGTGCATAACTCTATTGATGGCCAATATATATACATATTTAAAGTCATATCAAAGACTCATTGTTTGTATAATCAATGATTGAATACTACTCACAATTACCACTCAAAAGCCAAACACAATCTCAGTATTAAACAGAAGTTTTTGTCATTTGTTTTGGACTTTAATTTAATCTCATTTCTAAAGCGAAGACCTTTTTATAGGTTTTTAACTGTAATTCAATTGAAGAGAAGGAAAAGACGAGTCTTTACATCAAAACACCAAATGTTTTGTAAATGTTTTTGTATTTCTTTTGTATTTGTTTGTATTTTAATTGTCTTGAAATTACTCCACTATTCATCGAAAAGTCATTCAATTCAGAGCTCGTTATTGAGACCACACTTACCACCGATTGGATACTCAATGCAAACGAACTCCGAGTTCAGTAATCTTTGCGTTAAAACTGTTTTCATTTCGGATGTGTTTCGGGAAGTGTTAAGTGACAACAAATCAGTCAATACTCACGTCTACATCATAGCCGTAGTCCTTGTGTTTGGCCGCCTTCTCGTAGTCAGCCCTCAGTGCCAAGTCGTGGTACCGGTTGCACTCACCAAGGTCCATTCTCTGCA